GCTCGGCCCCCGCCCGGGCTCGCCGGTGAACCCCGGCTTCAGGAGGGCACTGGCGGCACGGCCGCGGGGCAGCGTGTGCCGTGGGCAGGGAGCCTCGCCAGCCCGAGCCACGTCCTGCCGCAGCACCGCGGGGAGAGCGCTCCGCACCCAGAGCCTCGGGACCGCCGGTACCACCACTTTTCTATAACAGAAACAGTGCAGATAAGCAGCTGGAGGTTTCACTACAACCTGCCCTGTCACTGTAAATAAACAGTCACGAAGCTGCGTTGCCTCAGCAGCACCAGTTCATTGCCAGAGGCTGTAGAGACTGCAGCTGGAGGTTTCACTACAACCTGCCCTGTCACTGTAAATAAACAGTCACGAAGCTGCGTTGCCTCAGCAGCACCAGTTCATTGCCAGAGGCTGTAGAGACTGCCCGGGTGCTCGCACGGCACATCTCCAGAGCCAGAGGCAGCGGGGACGCTCCTTACCTGCCTCCGTGCCGTGCTTCGCCGCCGGCACGGGAACGTTCGAGCACTCGAAGTACTCCAGGTCATCTTCTGGCTCGCCCTTCTTCTCCAGCCCAGCCGGTTTCTGCACAGAGGTGGTGGAGGCCAGCTTCTCCTCATCAGTGGCATGTCCATCCCGATTTGCAATATCTGGGATTTCTGAGATCAACACTCCTTCATCCTGCAGGATCAAGGCATGCGGTTAAGCAGGACTGAGCTGATCCGCGGGGATCGGGCAGCCAGGTTGCTGGACAGCCCGTGGAAAGCACGGGAGGTTTAGCATCCACGACAAGCTGCTCCCCGCCAGCTCCTCGGCAGGTTTTGGCAGAAGGAAACACATGGTGCCGGGGACAGAAGTGATTAACACGCAAACCCATTAACCCAACCGCTGAGCTCGGAGCTTTGCTCCGGCCCACGCCCTCCCAACCGCCCGCCGAGCATCCCTGCGCCCAGGCAGCAGCTCGGGGCCGACCCCACGTACCTGAGCGCAAGCGTCCAGGACCAGGGACTGCGTCTCGTACTGCTTCACCTTGCAGCCGCTCCTGGGGGGGAGAGCAGCAGCG